ATCCTGATGGAGCGTCGTAACACGTTGTTGCCAAGGTCATTGAATGTCACGGGTGCTGCCTGTGTACTGATGTCGTCTATGAAGCCTAGAATAGAATAGAATAGAATAGAATAATTCTTTATGCCTTTTCAGGAATTTGTGTTACATCAGCAGAGCTACTGACACATTAGAGAGATACCAAACATATTTACATAAATTCTTTGATTTAGGTATCTTCACATTTGATTAAGAGAGATATGGTACTTGGAATAAAGGATGTACGGGCTCTCTTAGTTTTCACAATTGGAACTTTGTAGTGGCGGCCTGAAGGGAGGAGGTTGTATTCCGAATTTAAGTAGTGAGTACAGTCAGATATGATTTTGACAGCTTGATTCACGATTTGCCGCTCATATATTGATGATAAACATTCAAATCTGACTCCAGCGATTTTACTTGCAGTGTTAACAATTTTGTCTATTTTAGATTTGAGATGAACTGAGAGAGACCCGTACCAACAATGGAAGGAAAATGTTAAAATACTCTGAATAAATGCTACATAAAAAGATGACATCACAGATGGGTTAACATTAAAAGATCTCAGTTTACGCATGAGATGAAGACGTTGTTGACACTTTTTGTATAGGGCTTCAGTGTTAGAGTTCCAGTTCAGCTTAGAGTCAATGAAGGTTCCCAGATACTTATACTCCGACACTGTCTCAACACATTCATTGTTGATTATCACTGGACGCATTTCTGTGGGTTTACTCCGAAAGTCAATTATCAGTTCCTTTGTTTTTGTGACATTTAAGATTAAGTGGTTTTCTGCACACCAAGTCGTAAAATGATTAATGTCCTCTTTATACAGTTTTTCAGAATCAGTGTCGTTCAGTTTGCCGACAATTGCTGCATCATCTGCGTATTTTACAGTTGAACAGATTGAATTCGAGCTTGCACAATCATTAGTGTAGAGGGTGAAAAGAACAGGAGATATTACACAGCCTTGTGGTGCACCAGTGTTGGTGGTCCGTTTACTCGATACAGCCCCGTTAACTTTCACGTACTGCTGTCTGTCCACAAGAAAGTTTTCGATCCACTTGATGAGGTATGAGTTAACGCCCATGTCTAACAGTTTCTGTATCATGATATGTGGCTGGATAATGGTGAACGCAGATGAAAAGTCAACGAAGAGGATCCTGATGTATGACTTAGGTGTCTCTAGATGTTTATAGACATTATTTAGGAGTGACAGTGTGGCATCAACAACTCCTCTCCTTGACCTGTAGGCGAACTGAAGCGGGTCCAGTATGTCGGCAACTTCCTGACGGAGATGTCTCAACAAGATGCGTTCCAGCGACTTCATTGCTATAGATGCGAGAGCAACTGGCCTATAGTCGTTGAGTTCTTTAGGTTGTCTTCTAGGAACTGGTACAATTTCTGATGTTTTCCAGACCGAAGGAATAACGTGTGTAGTCACTGAGAATTGAAACAATCTAGTGAAAACTGTAAACAGTTGAAGTCTGCACTCCTCCAACACAATGCCGTCAAGGTTGTCAGGTCCTTTTGCTTTTCTGATGTTAATTCTGGAGAAGCTTTGAATGACGTCAGCTTCTGATATATGGATACGACTTTCACTATCCTGTACGGCTTCACTAACTTGAGCTCTCTCTCATTGGTAAAGTCGTGACAATCAAAGCGGCTGTAGAAAGTGTTGAGGTCCTCAGCAAAGGTTTTTTTATCCCCGGAGTTGTTGAGCAATATTCCTGCTGCTGGTGCCAACCTGAATCATGCCTAGTGCACGTTCTCATTCGTGAGGTATTAACCTCGGCATCTCTGTCCTCGTTTTACAATCGTTAATGAAGCTATGAGAATCGGTTCTCATACACCTGCTTTTAATGTCACAGTCAGTACGATTTCAGAATGAAATTCGCGCTTTTTTCATGGCGTGGCTGCATGTTGATGCATTTTGGAATTAAGAGTCATACTGTGGACAGGAATTTGTTTCTAAAGCATTTTTTTCAACTGGACATGCCCTTCGACTTCATGTTAGTTATATTCATTGATCATTGTCATGCTGAAATCCATCTTGATGAAAATATGGACAATTTTAGACTGGTGCGTTTTCATTGATGTTCAGTATATATAGCACCATATTGTGTGAAGCACGTGACTAACATGTGTCGCCAGGAGCAGACGTAAAGAGTAGCAGAAGTAAATATCACGTGATACCAACACTGTATCTTATTGGTTGAAGACAAATTGTCACCATGGCATTTGTAATCCCTAAATGATTCTATTTATGTGTCTCGTCAACAGTTTGTCGGTATGCGCTTAAATAGATTTTCGTGTATAGCAGCAAATCTCACACCTTCCAACGACGGACTTTTACCGTTCCGCCCAAACCTTTCTGAATGCAAATTTTAAAGTTCCGTCTGGATTGCTTTTATATATTGGTCGGAGACCGGACGAATATTTTCAAATGGCTGGCAATATGCCCTTTTAATTACACTTGCAAGCCTAAAACTAAAACCTTTGACGTGATCAAATAGATGTGACAATTAAATTTCGATTTTGCGAAGTCCATCAGAAACTCTAACCGAAAGGCAGGGCAATAGATAAACTAATGCTTCGTCTCTGAATATATATAATTTTGATAGCAACAACCGATATAAATTGAAAGGGAGCTCCAGGGAGACAAGAGATTCAGACTAATGCTTCGTCTCTGAATATATATAATTTTGATAGCAACAAACAAACCAATATAAATTGAAAGGGAGCCCCGGGAAGACAAGAGATCAGACTAATGCTTCGTCTCTGAATATATATAATTTTGATAGCAACAAACAAACCAATATAAATTGAAAGGGAGCCCCAGGGAGACAAGAGATTCAGACTAATGCCTCGTCTCTGAATATATATAATTTTGACAGCAACAAACAAACCGATATAAATTGAAAGGGAGCCCCAGGGAGACAAGAGATTCAGACTAATGCTTCGTATATCATTTTGACTCAAACAAACCGATATAAATTGAAAGGGAGCCCCAGGGGAGACAAGAGATTCAGACTAATGCTTCGTCTCTGAATATATATAATTTTGACAGCAACAAACAAACCGATATAAATTGAAAGGGAGCCCCAGGGAGACAAGAGATTCAGACTAATGCTTCGTCTCTGAATATATATAATTTTGATAGCAACAAACAAACCCATATAAATTGAAAGGGAGCCCCAGGGAGACAAGAGATCAGACTAATGCCTCGTCTCTGAATATATATAATTTTGACAGTAACAAACAAACCCATATAAATTGAAAGGGAGCCCCAGGGAGACAAGAGATTCAGACTAATGCCTCGTCTCTGAATATATATAATTTTGACAGTAACAAACAAACCGATATAAATTGAAAGGGAGCCCCAGGGAGACAAGAGATTCAGACTAATGCCTCGTCGAATATATATAATTTTGACAGTAATTTATTTTTTAGAAATTTACGTTCGGAATTCAGGAGTGTGACAACTGGAAAAAAATATTACCCGCTGCCACGGTAACCGCCAAACTCTCCGCTGAGAACCGGGTTAGAATGGGCAACCCGTGTTTATCATAAGAGGCGACTAGCGGGATCGGGTGGTCAGGCTCGCTTACTTGGTTGACACATGGGCCGACACATGTCATCGTATCCCAATTGCCTATAGGACGATGTGGATGATGTTGATCACTGGATTGACTGGTCCAGACTCGATTATTTCCAGACCGCCGCCATATAGCGGGGATACTACTGAGTGCGGCGTTCAACAACAAACCAACCAAGTTTGTTTGCCACATTTTCGGATGACCCTGAACCTCCCTGCAAACACAAATTACATTTTATTAGAAAACATCCATTCTAAATGTCCATTCGTAAATCTATATACTACTTACTGTGACATCTCGAGACTCTCAGATTTTTAGTCTGTTCTTGAGAAAGGCAAATAAAAACAAAACAGGGAGAAATAATGATATTCCTTTATTATTGACAAATAAATCACATTTTATTCCCCTTGCTAAAATTTAAGCAATGTAAATCGTCTTCATTTGATTGTCTGGTCCAGACCCGATTGTTCACAGACCGCCGCGCTTTAGCTGAAATATTGTTGAGTGCGGCATTAAACAACATACACACAATGCTTTACACAAGTTTACACAAGTGAACATATAAAACAATAACTGATACAAATATTAAAATTCCATAAAACTCGAGGGGTATTAATGGTTCTTTGTGTAATTAGTTACAAAATCGGAATACATTGTACAACATTTTTGAGTAAAATACAACATTGTTGTTTTGGACACTTTACAACAACGTAAGTGGAACGGTTCACCATGCGATAAATAGCATATACCATGCCAGGGATGAACATGACGCATCGCAAAAGTATTTGCATTAAAATGTACAGATATATTCTTGAGAACATTAATATATTAAAAGTAGAAAGCGTTCTAGTATAGTTTAGTTATTACCGTGATGTACCGACGACCTTTTACATATTACGATCCCTTTATCAAGATTATGTCTATTTTCAGGTTAACAGATCGAATACCATGACCTCAAGTCCGCACGGGGGGAAAGGTCGCGTTCATCAACGGACGGTCAATGAACTTACTACACCTAGCCTTCGTTAATGTTGATTCCTATTAACTGTCCTTCACATCGAAAGGGTTTGAGATTTGCTTGGATCGAGTTAAACCATTGTCATAAAAGTACACACCATTTAATTCTTTGTTTAGAACGTTCCTTTCAGCGTTGCACTGCAATGCACAATACGGACTGGTCCCTATATTTTGATGCTTCTCGCAAGGCCGAATTACATAACCACCGCGTATTAATATATTCAATGTAAACATTGCAAATAGTCCTGTCACAAACGCATACTGCATTGCCTAGGTATTCGATCTTTTTAAGATATATATGTATACTGTGAAAAGCTGAAGTGTTAAAAAACAACGAATGAAACTTGGATCTATATTTGTGCGCGGAGGAGTAGCTTCGGGGTAAATCGGTCTTCAGATCACAATATGGCCTCTCCGAAGGCAAACTTTTGTTATTCGCCTGATAACGTTTAGTAACCGTTATCATCCGATTTCTTACAATCTACGTGTACGATACATAAGACAAGTTAGAAGCCGTGTTGAGTGAGTCGTGTAGAAACAATGACGACCCTGTCGCCGTTCACGCCGCCGATTGTGAAGAGTCTATTGGCGTGGAAGAAGGGTGAGCATGATCGTGATGACAAATGGTCCGAAAAGGCTGTGAAAAGTTTAGTTAAAAAGTTGAAAAAGACAGGCGGAATAGACGAGCTGAAGAAGGCATTGTCGACACAAGATCCCAACACGAAGTGCATCACGATCCCCAGGTAAGACTTGAGCATGACGATGACGAGATGAAGATGCTTAGAATTGATGCTGGGGTGTTATCTCGCACTCCTCCCAGGGAGATCGATGGTGCTTGGCACCTTTTGTGACCACCCCGCCCCTTTTTTGACAACACCCTTCTGAGAGTATACCACACGTTAATGATTCTTGTAGAAACTGAAGAATAATATTGTAAAATGTGTTAAGTTCAACCTCCAGGAGGTTTGAATCCCTGACATTGGAACAGGGTTTGGAATATCTGTTGTTCATGACAGTCATGCATTTAGAAGATGACTGGTTATGGAATTCATGATATGATATAGTCTAGTCTGATATTCCATCCATGGCACTGTCATGTCTAGTTCTAAAGAGTTATTGCGTACATTCTCTATTGTGTGGAATTGGAATCAGAAATTAGTTGTCACTTATATGGGAATATAGCATCGATGACAGTTTGATGCTTCAATTTTACATGGCGATGATAATGATGATGATTATGATTTACACTCGAATGTTGTGCTGATGACAGTTTGAGGCTCTGTTTATTCATGGTGATGATGATGATTAACAGAGGAATATAGCGCCGATGACAGTTTGATGTTCAGTTTTACATGGCGATGATAATGATGATGATTATGATTTACATAGGATTGTAGCGCTGTTGACAGTTTGAGGCTTTGCTTATTCATCATGATGATAATGATGATGATTTGCAGAGGAATATAGCGCCGATGACAGTTTGATGTTCAGTTTTACATGGCGATGATAATGATGATGATTATGATTTACACACGAATGTAGCGCTGATGACAGTTTGAGGCTCTGTTTATTCATGGTGATGATGATGATGATTAACAGAGGATAATAGCGCCGATGACAGTTTGATGTTCAGTTTTACATGGCGATGATAATGATGATGATGATTATAATTTAATATAGAAAAATGTAGCGCTGATGACAGTTTGAGGCCTTATTTATTCATCATGATGATAATGAGGATTTATAGGGGAATATAGCGCCAATCACAGTTTGATGCTTCAGTTCAGTTACATCATCGTGATTATGGTGATGATGATGATGATGATAATAATTTCACCGGGGACATATAGCGGATCACAGTATGATGATGATGGTGGTCATAGCACCAATGACAATTTAATGCATCTGTTGTACATGATGATGATAATTTCAATGGGAATATAGTGCCGATCACAGTATGATGATGGTGATTATGATGATAATTTCAATGGGAATATAGTGCCGATCACAGTATGATGATGGTGATTATGATGATAATTTCACTGGGAATATAGTGCCGATTACAGTATGATGATGGTGATTATGGTGATAATTTCAATGGGAATATAGTGCCGATTGCAGTATGATGATGGTGATTATGGTGATAATTTCAATGGGAATATAGTGCCGATTGCAGTATGATGATGGTGATTATGGTGATAATTTCAATGGGAATATAGTGCCGATTGCAGTATGATGATGGTGATTATGATGATAATTTCAATGGGAATATAGTGCCGATTGCAGTATGATGATGGTGATTATGATGATAATTTCAATGGGAATATGGTGCCGATTGCAGTATGATGATGGTGATTATGGTGATAATTTCAATGGGAATATGGTGCCGATTGCAGTATGATGATGGTGATTATGGTGATAATTTCAATGGGAATATGGTGCCGATTGCAGTATGATGATGGTGATTATGGTGATAATTTCAATGGGAATATAGTGCCGATTGCAGTATGATGATGATGGTGGTAATGATGATGATTATGATGATTGTGGGAATGTAAACATTGCGAACGTTGCCGTATTGCTGAAAACTTGTGAGTCTAATTGAGACATTTTAACCGTCGGAAAACATAAACGTAATAAATCCACCAGTGATGTTAGCTGCGTGAAGCAACTGCAAACCAAGAAACGAGAAGCAACGGAGTAGTTTACTGTAGGAGGCTGTACGAGGCGATGACAACTGACATGCATCGTGGACGTCACTTACATTGTGACGTAATGCAAAATTGTTCAATTACGAGGGGGCAGACTGGAATGGCGAGGTGATGCCAATGCATTGTGACGTAATGCAAAAAGTGCACATTATCGTCTGATAAAGTACTGTCGGTGCCTTTGATCTTTCATCGAAGCATCTTAGAATACTTAATCTCTCAATATATATAAGTTTGATAGGAACAAATCATCCCTTTTAAATTGAAAGTGGGTCCTAACCCTAAATAAATCTAGACTTGCTTCATTTAGGGCTTTAAGCATTGCAGAATGGGCTGGTCGGAAGGGGAGATAATGCGGTTCAGGGACTGCAAGACCGTCTGAATGTTCTGTATTTCTCGAATCGAGAAAGTAGAAGCCTGAAATTTTACTTTATTTCATACTGTTGTTGTGTTGAACATCAGAATTCATTTCATAATATAATATGGCCTTAATGGCATTGTACAAAGCAATCTTAACACTAAAGTGATTGTAACTCACATACCTTAATGGCACCAGGGGCGGTGGGGTAGCTTACTGGTTAAAGCGTTCGCTCATCACCGACCGGGTTCGATTCCCCACATGGGTACAATGTGTGAAGCCCATTTCTGGTGTCCCCGCCGTGATATTGCTGGAATATTGCTAAAAGCGGCATAAAATTAAACTCACTCACTCATTAATGGCACCAAGATGGACTCTTTAGCATGTTAAGAAAGGTGCTGCCTCAGGGACAAGAGTAGCTTCCCTTTGATAAAGTCAAATCACTGATCTTGTTATTTGTGATAATTTTTGTCACTTGTCACTTGTCACTTGTCACTTGAATTATTCTATGACGGGTACTGACTTAGTGTCTGAAAAATGTGCTTTAGTTGGAACTATTTTTTTGTCATTGTCTGACTGACTAGTCACTGACTGGCTGAAGTATGTATTAATGCGCCTATTCCAAGAATACTTGCAAGGCTTTGGTACAGTTTGGGAGAGATTAGGGGCATTATATGATAACTGGTTATCACCCTTTCTGTGTAGGATAAAGCACGACTCCGAGGTTATGGTTGCGAAAGTAAGACCCAAACCGGAGGGTGGGGAGAAGTAAGACCGAGAGCGCATTGCACTCGAGGTCTTACTTCTCTCCACCCGATGGTCGAGGGCTTACTTTCCCAACCATAACCGAGGAGGAGTGTTTATTATACATATAAACCGTCAATGATGGATAATTAGATGATCATGTAATGAAGCTACATAACAGTAACTGAAGCGCTAGTAAAATCAATTGAATGACAGTAGGCCTAACTATAAATAGATAATTCAACCCTCGTTCTTTGTTGGCCCGGTGGCTGTGAGGTAGAGCATCCACTTATGAATCTGAAATACGGCACCAATCCTGCTAGGGAAAACATTTGCACATTTAAGTTGATCTTTGACGATATTTTTCAATTGATTTCAAACACTAACATATCATCTGAATTTGAATGTTGATGTTAATATAGAGTTAGGAAAATGTAAAACCTGGGAAGAGGTCTTACTTACAAAAAGTAAAACTGGGAAATAGGTCTTAATTACGAAAAGTAAAACCTGGAGCAAACAAAAACCTCAAATGCGGTAATTCCGGGAAAAGAAGCCATGTCTAATATATAGTGAGAAGCAGCCTTCAGGTTTATATTTAGGTGGTACATATGAGGAATAACCACTTTAGTTATGGTTAATAGGTAATTCCTGTTGTATCATGTTTACCATCCAAAAACACAAGGGCCATCACCTCTCTCTCATATGTTATTCATAATAGCCCCTATTAAAATATTTTAACATGCATATTTACCATGAAACATTGATGTTAACAAGATGTATCACATTTTATTAAGACATGGAGGGAGGTGGGGTAGCCTAATGGTTAAAGCGTTGGCTCATCACTCCGAAGACCCGGGTTCAAATCCCCACATGGGTACAATGTGTGAAGCCCATTTCTGGTGTCCCCCGAGGTGATGTTGCTGGAATATTGCTAAAAGTGGCGTAAAACCAAACTCAGTCAGTATTAAGACATGGATTTTTCTTGGATTGCTTCAGATGATTGTTGGAGTCAAGTTGCAGAAAATATCTTTATAAGTTTCTAAAGGTGGAGTTCTTTGTTGTTTGTCATTGTTGAAACTAGTGGTCGTCCGATTAATCGAAGATTGGTCACAATGACGAAACGACCAAGCAATCGATCATGTTTCCTCATAAATGAACACAAACAATCTTGGAACACTTTTTTGTATTAACAACATTTTTCACAAGGTTTGTTTTGTACGTTACATTTCATAAGCACTAAATGCTCGTTCCAAGAAATGATTGAATTTACTATTATCTACAGGAAATTTATGTTCCTAACATACTAGTCATTCTTTAAAGGTCTGAAATTTGTAAATGCATATTGTGCAATTTGCAAAATAAACGAAACATGTTTTTTCTATATTTTTTGTGCATTTACAAACATAACCAGGAGAATTTTATAAATGACGCTAATCAATTATTTTCGATGATGAGTTGTAATGAACCAATCATCAATTGTGAGATTTTAACCAATACCCAACAATAGTTTAAACTAATGTTATGGTTTTGATCTTGTTAAATCTCTCACCTCACCTCACCTCACACCTCACCTCACCTCACCTCATCTCATCTCATCTCATCTCATCTTATCTCATCTCACCTCACCTCACCTCACTGGTCACTTCACCTTCACTCACTCACCCATCATTAGAACTCAGGGACACCTTTCCAAGCATTATTCTCCATGGCAAAGAACCTGCAAATAAATCACAAAGCTTAGTGTATGTAAATCTAGGGGTGGGTATTGCAGAGAATATTCATATTGCGATATATTGCGATGCGAAACCATGTATTGCGATATGCATTGCAATATATTGCATGAAGTATTTTAAACAAAAACTACTTATAATCGAGTTACTGCTTGATTTATAAAGCAAAACACAACAAAATCACTATGCTTGATTAAGCTTTA